CTTCTGTCAAATTCTCTTAATTCTCTTATCTTCATCTTTACCCCAAGTTCATGTTCTTCAGTACTTATAGGTTATTATACTTGCAAATAATCTAATAATTTATGTTTTCTCTACTGGGCAACTATCTTGGTTCTTATTTGTATATATCAGCACCATTTTAATATTACTTTATTTTCATTAAGGTAATACATCTATACCTTAAAGAAAATAGTGTTAAAGTTATTAAAAGTAGTCCCACAGTTCTCCAAAACCATAGTCTCAATCTTCACAGGCAAACATTTTTCATGTACTTTTTTATTGTACTTGTTTATATAATTCTAAAAGGTTTGCTTATCCTGCTATTGCTAATAACAATTTTACACACTATTTATTGACTTTATAAAAGTTGAGGATTTTGTTGTTTTACATACATATATACACAGGCAAGCTTTTCTTATCTCCTTCATAAAGTTGTATCATTGTTTAGGGTTGCCATTTGGCTCATGTTCCCATTATTTTGATTTTATCTACATCTGAACTAAATGTTGTATTATCACAGTGCATTCTTCCCCCTCAAAGCCTTATGTTTTTCCTGGAGTTAGTAATTTCCTGTTTTTAAATTTGTTTAGTGTACTTTGTATCTACTGTAAATTATTTCACAAATGCCTCCATATACTCATTATAACTGCAGTCATTGGAATAATCTACTATAACAACCAATCCAAAACATTTCAGTGTTTTGGTTTATTTTTGGTATAAGTTTGTTTCTTGCTCATGTCACAGCACAATGTGTGCCAGCTAGGATTTCTATGCCACATAAACATTCAGGGCTACAATTTCTTTCATCTTTGGACTTCAATATTTTCTAAGACCTTAGAGTTGCTCACTGAGTCTCTGTCTGCATACTAATAAGGAAAGACAGAAAGAATGGAGGATTCATAGTCATTTTAAAGGAATGGTGTGGAAGTGGTACACATTACTGCTGCCTGCATTTCACTGTCTAGCGTTCAGTTACATTCCTGTCTACATGCAGAGGTCTAAGAAATGAAGCCTAGTGGGATGCTCAGGAAAAAAAAAAAAAAAAACAGAATCTGATGAATACTTCCAGGATTTTTTTGTCAACAATTTTTTTCAAACGTATTTTTACAGAAAATAATTATCATTTTTCTCATGGACATTTTCCACTGCAGTGAATCCTGTTGCTTCTCTGTAGGCCTACTTCACAACTTTCCTGGAGAATTCGCTTTACTGTCTCAGTACTATTGGACCTCTACATTCTGGGTTCCATCTCTTCCTTCTTGCTTTGGGGACCTTCTTTAAAAATGGTACGAGAATTAAATTTTTGAATCCTCCCACGTCTGAAAATATCTTTAATCACACTTGTCTGATATTTTGTCTGGGTATACAATTTTATGTTGAAGATAATTTTATTTTAAAAATGTGAAAACATTTAAAGAATCTTCTGGATTCATTACTTCTCTTGAGAAATATAATGACATTTTTATTCTTTTCCTTTGCATGTGAGCTGCTTTATGTTTCTGGAGGGTGTTTTAGGTTTTCTTTGTTCCTGAACTCATAATATTTCAAACTAATGTATCTTGGTAATTTTAATTAATTGATACTTTTTTCTCATGGAATTTTTTATTTCAAAAAATGTTGGTTTTATTTCTGGAATTGTTTCACATCACTTCTTTAATTTTAACACCCCTTTCTGAATGGAAAGAACTTTTCGAAAGGTTCTAAGATTCCCATTGGTCAGAAATTTCTCCCTTTTCTCCAATGTCTTATTTCCACAGTTTTTTGTTCTGTTGTCCTGGAGTTTTCAACTTACTCTTCTAACCTATCTGTCAAATTTTTAAAATTTTGATAATGTTTTTAATTTCAAAGGAGTTTTTTCTTGTACGGTATATAAATTGTTAAATTCATTTTCTGTACGAGAGGAGAAAATTGTATGTGTTCAGTTCATCTTGTTAAACCACAAATTACTCCGGTTTACTTTCTACAGAAGATAAACCTCCAGTCTCCTGGAGGCTGGGCTGAGCAGATGGAGGAATGTATGGGTGGTTGACTGCACAGCAGTGGGGAAGGGAACGTTGGGTCCAAGCATTGTGCATCCAGATGTCTACCCAAACCCCTGTGTTCATTCCACCACCTGGGATCCTTCTATTGTGGTATTTCTGCCTCCTAGACCTGGGGCCTCCCAGGCTTACTCAGGGAAATTTGTCTTTCTTCTTATTCATCACCCTCCTAAAGGCCTGCCATGTATAAACACCTCTCCTCTTCCAAGTTACCAAACCTCCATCTGATTTAGGTTCTTATAAAAATCCATTGCTGTTTATTTTCCCTTTGCTATCTCCTCTCATCTTTATTTGTCTTTATGGTTTAATAACAGTTAAAAATGTTATATTTTACCATGTGAGAGAAATTTGGGGAAAAGGCCATGCTCAATCTAACATTTTTAAGCAGAAGTCTTTGTGTACAGTTATGTATCTGCTTCCTTTGGCGATGCATTTATGGAATGTTAATCCAATTGAGGGCAGAAATTTTATCTAATTTGTGTATAAACTCCAGTTACAGGGAGGTGTTTTTTATTTTTATTTATAATGATATGTCTTATAGTCACCTTGCTTTCGCTGGCAGTCTTGGGATCTGCCTCTAATCAAAGTAGCCAAGTGTTATTATTCTCATGTTCTCCCACAACTTCTCCTACTTGGAAACCCTCTTCTCATGAAGAAGGGCAAGACCCACAGCTCGCAAGTGGCATCATTACAAACTCTCCTCTCTCTGAGCCTCAGAACCCGAAAGATAAGACTTAAAGTGGCAGGTAACTCTGGGAGAGCTGTACCCACAAGAGTGGACCTTAAAGGCAGCTGACACACTTATGGGGGAACATTGACGAGAAAAGCAGACAAATGTTGTGTGTTTGAGTTTGTCACAGTAGGAACTCTTTTTTCAGATTTAGCAGGGAGGGAGCCTGGTCTCTGGCCACCGTGATCTCAACCTTGGGGATCAGCAAGGTTGTGATCTGGACATTGCTGGGACTTTCTCAACCTCAGCTCTTCATGCTTAAAATGGGGACAATAAAAATAATAGATGCCATGCCTATTTCAAAGTAAGGTTGTGAAAAATCTGATGAGATGATCTATGGGCAAGGCCTTTATAAACTCTATTGCACATAGGAAATTATAGCTATTAGGATTAACGTAAGTGACACATAAACTAGGTGAAGAATATGTATTATTATTGTATGGTGCAGAGAAGCATATATTAGATCACATTATGCTATATACTCATTTATTTTGGGCATCAATTTTCTTAATATTGCTTGATCTTTTGTTTTTTAATTTTATTAAATTTATTTATTTCACATCATTGTTCATTTTTGTACAGCATTTGAATTCTCCCATCAGGTGTAGTTCCTGTAATTCTCGCACCACCTTAGTACCTGTGATCCCTCACCATAGTCCCTTGTGCCTTTCCCTCCCCTGTTTTAACCCATCACCTTCACCTTCCCCTGTTGAATGGACCTATGGTCAGCTGGCATAGCATAGCATATTTTCATTGATTTATTTTGGGGGGATCATTTTTAATTAGTGTGCTATATACAGTCAAATGTTCTATCTACAGTTATGGTCTTTTTTTAAGTCTTTTCAAATTTTGCACATGCACTTGTGACTTATCTACTGTTGACAGATACAAAGTAAATTTACTCTAATACAGTATAGGCTCCTAGAAGACTTATTTTGAAAATCTACAACCTGACTCCCCTATCCTTTCTCCTAATAACTCAGAATAATTTTTGTGAACTGGACCTTATTTGGGAAGAATAGAGTAAATAGCTGCTATGAGAATAAATACAGCCAACACATATATAGAACTTTCTGCACCAGACACCCTTCTATGAACTTTGCTGATAAGTGTGCATTTACTTACAATATCTCTATGAAGGCATTTTATTGTCTCGTTTTCAAGATTGAGGCACAGAAAAAAAAAATTTCTTTCCTATTTTCGCGATAGATAGATCTCTAGGGATGGAATGTTGCTTCAAACTTCTTGGCTGTAGGTTGCTTGTTTGTCCTGGTTTCTGAATTGGGTTCTTCCTTTTCCCTCCCACAGCACTTCCCAGGGGATACTCCCAAGGGGGTGGTATTGTAGCAGTGCCTCCCAGATCCAGCCTTCAGGCACCCAGTCAGAACTAGGTCCAACAATGAAAATCTAAGTAGTCAGCTCACTGTTTACCAACATGAATACCAGCAAACAATTTTCCAACTTTGTGATTTTCTTCACAGAGGATTAAATTAACTGCTATTCGATGTATACAAGCTTACATTCTTATCTTTGCCATCAGCCTGTAAACTAAGGCTTCCAGTGTAACCTCGAGTGGGCCAAGATCTTTGTGATGGAGGGATGAGCCCAGTATCCAGAACAGGGCTGCTTCCAACATTTCACGCTTACTTCTGAATCCTGAGCCAGTGTTGCAAATATAGGTACCCAATATTTATTTAATAAACGCCTGTGCCCCTGACTGTTGGATCTTATAAACATTCTCCATTTACTAACCCACGGGAGGATATCTGAAGCGACCTGAGGACGCAAAGATGAGGCTGGTGCATACTAATGGATGTATTAATAGAGTCTCACTTTTAAAATACTAATTTCTTCCCAACTTTCCTTTCACTTCCTGGGCTTTCTCTACTCTCCACTGGCAATCCCTTGCTCTTTCCATTGTTAAAGAGCCCTGCCCTGGGAGGAGAGAACGCGAGGCATTGGAAGCAGTTCTCAGTGCTCTGGGCTTTCTGAGTAAGTGATTATCAGAGAAAACAGGAGGAAATAATACAATACAAAAGAGCTGGCTGCTAGGGCGCTCAGCCCTGTAGTGCGGAGAATTTAACCAGAAGTCAAGTGCGCTTGAGTCACCAGCACGGTCTGGCGGAGGTGAGCGCCGCACATCCGCCTGAGCACCGGGGACACGCCTCTGCTCACCCCAGCCTTCCAGATCCCGGCTTGGCGGCGGGCTCGGGGGTGGCGCTACTCGTCCTGGCACTGGCCGTGCGCAAGGGCCGGCACTGGGGACGGGCTGGAGCGCCTGGGACCGGTCGGGCGCCACAGGTTGGAGAATCAGGAGCTGTCCCCATGACCGTGGCCTCGTCAAGCAGATGCCGCGTGGACGCCCAGGAGGTCTAGAGCTTGGGAACCTGGAAGGAAACCTCTGAAACCCGAAACCCAGCCCTCTCCCTTAAGGAAACTTCGCAGGCTGGTGAGTCGGGGAAGCTGCTGCTGCTGGAATGTGTTCCCACCCACCGGGGCGCAGGCGGCTGGAGCCTGGAAAGGAAATGAGACGTGGAGGAGAGGCCGGCCGGGCGGGAGGCGAGCCGAGCCTGGTGCCTGCCTTGGGCGACCTGGGGGGGTGTGTGTGAGCGCCAGGTCGGCGGGGAAACCGAAAGCGCACACTTGCGTGGGCACAGGTGTCCCCAGAAAAGGGAGACTGCGGGTTCAGGGTGGGGTGTTTGCCTGTCAAACAGCTGCTTAGGGTTTTCAAAAGCTGGAGCCAGCAAAGCCCTTTTGCTTCCGTTTGGATCTCCAACCCCAACAAAATAATAGTTGATAATGCTAATGATGGTAATAAGAGCGATCTGTTTGGAGTTTCATTCAAGGAGAAGTTATTTAGTGAGGCAAGGCAGGTAAGTGATGGGACTTTTCTCTGCACTTCCTCTGATATCGATGCAGAGAGATCAAAGTAATTTTATCTTCCAACATTTCACGGTTACTTCTGAATCCTGAGCCAGTGTTGCAGCTGCGGGGATGTGTATGTTATGTCTTCCTTCAAGAGGTCACGATTATGTAGTTGCCAAGGTACCCACCCAATCCTCATTATCTTACAGCTATGGAAGCAGGTAAAAGGTAACTAGTAAAAGCTAGAGGCCGAGTTTCTAGGAAAAGGCTGTTGGTTAAAGCATCACACCTGTGATTATTAGCTTTTGATTTCAAGATCTAAAATTAAAAGATTCCTGCTATTTACATGATACATTATTAAAATGAAACCCAAATGAACAACCTGTGGTTTCAGGGTTATTGGTAACAAAATTATTATTTAATGTAATAGTAATTATGCATTTTGACATAGTTCTGTTTAATATTAGCTATATTATATACATAGTTGTGTAGTTCCAAATTTTAAAATTTGGCAGAAAAATGGTCTTCAGCATTATATACTCAAGTATAAACTTAAATGACTTACATTGAATTGCTTATACCAGATGTGAGAGTCATATTTGCCTTGTGCCAGTCCTCCTCAAATTATTATTTTCATAATTTCCTACATAATTCTCTACCCAGAGGGGATCAACACCTCTTCAGGGTGAGAGGGGATTCTTGTGAATGACCCATAAAAAGTAAAGTTGATCCACAGTTTAATATATATATATTTTTTTTAAAGATTAATTTATTTATGGATACAAGAACCAGGGTACAGGCCAGAGATGGGGGGGGGGTGAGAAGATTCACCAGAGACAGAATGGGGAACAGAACAGGCAGACTGACTGAAATACACTGCTGAGGGGAGCAGCGGGCAAGACAGGAGAGGTCTGCTGTACCATGTAGGTAGCTCCCTGGCCGGCCAGGGATCAAACTTGTGCTTCAGAGGCTGCAGATAGCTTCACAGTGCTGTGCTTAACCCCTTGCACCACCAGGGAGGTCACATAGTTTAATATTAATGAGATTTTTCTCTTAAGAACTGATTACAGCCTCCCATAGAATGTTACTATCATAGCTTCTGAAAGAAAAACAAAACTTTTCAGATGAAACTGGATGAGCCTGTTCTCAGAGTTGCCAAGAAGAAATAAAGGGAATCTGTCAAATGTAAGCAAACCACATGTCTTTCATAGGTCATTTCTGGAAGAGAAATAGGTGATCTGCACTAATATACTTAATCTCAGCTCCTTAGCACACCAGTTTATACTAAAATTATCTACTAGTTTCTGAGTGGCTTTCCATTTATTTAACTGTTCTGGAAAAGTGGAATTCATCCAAAGTGCCAGGTGGTTGAGAACAGAAATCTGCTCTTTTCCCACCCTTACTCTGGGGAAATGTTTGGTTCATTTTTTTTTTTTTTTTTTGGTCTTTTAATCAGGGGAGTGTGAAGCATAGACCAACTATTCACATAAAGCATAGCTCACAATTATTCCAGTTTCTTGAGTTGATTCATCAAGGCAGGTTAACCAAGTAATTGTGTAAGCAAGTAAGCAAGTAATTGTCATGTGGATTTGCAGGAAAACAATTACAGTGAAAACAGGATAAACCAGGTGTTTCCTATGGAGAGCAGGTCACTTTCTAAAGATGGCAGCTAGGGGGAAAAGATTTTTTTACTTGTTATCAGGTGTATATTACAGTAGGAACTACATCACTAAGCATAATAACAAACCTACCATGACCCCATAAATGGAGGTAAGAGTATTACTTCACTTGTCTCACACCTTTTGCAATCATTACTCATGTTCTGCAAACATTAACCATCTCTCACAGACCCTCCCTAAATGAAGGAAACTTGCCTCCATTATCAATACGGGGAATGAAACTTTAACACATAGCCAAACAATCTCCAATCAGGTGTCCTTTTAACTAAATGACTGCTCATATATTGAGGCATTCCTTGTTCATTTATTCAGTCAGTAATTATTAATAGTATCACACACCATTGCAGGGTCTGTGTGGACAGAAATAAACAAAATAGACAAAGATCTGGCCCCAGAGTGAGACAGACAGTGAACAGGGTGATAAAATTGAATCTGTGATACATTAGCGATAGTGCTAAGGAAAGACCAGAGGAGGTTTGCAGTGGTAGTGGCATGGACCAGCTACTGTGGAAAATTTAGATCAGGTGCCTTACTCAGAAAAAGCCTCACTGAGAAGATGATATTTGATTGTTGCTTTAAAGGAGGTCAGGGAGGGCCTCCCTGGTGGCGCAAGGGGTTAAGCACCACACTATGAAGCAATCCACACACAGCCTCTGCAGCATGAGTTCGATCCCCAGCTGGCCAGGGAGCGACCCACATGGCAAGACAGACCTCTCCTCTCCTGTCTCGCCCGCTGCTCCCCTCAGCAGTGTATTTCGGTCGGTCTGCCTGTTCTGTTCCCCACTCTGTCTCTGTCTCACCTCCTGCATCTCTGGCCTGCGCCCCAGCTCTTGTGTGCATAAATAAATAAATCTATAAAAAAAAAAAAAAAAGGAGGTCAGGGAGTGAGCCATGCAGCTCTGAGGAGGAAGAGCTTACCGGATTGGAGGAACAACACCGAAGGATTTACGTAGCATCTTCCACTAACAGCAAGGAAGCCTGCACACCTGCAGCAGGAGGGCGGAACAGGGTGGCAATAAATGGGGAGGAAATAGGAGGGCCGTGTCATACAGGGCTTTGAAGGTCTATTAAACACGTTGGGGTTTGATGTTTATTCTGAGTGAAATAAGAAAACACTATAATTTTGATATTGTCTATTGAAGATTCATTCAGCAAATACATGTGCCGATTTGAAATTATTGGCAACTTTGATAGGAGATGGAGTTCTTAAAGATAAGGAATTCAGGGAAATTAAACTTAAAAATTCTGGAAGCAGCATTTCCTATAATCCATAGAGACCACCAGAGAAATTCATGAGGCTACATTGAAGCTCTAAAATCACTTTTTGAAAGCAGCTGGTCGAACACGGAGACAAAGGAGCTACTTGAGCTGTGAACACTGCAGGTGGAAGAGTGAGCCCCACAGCGGGCTGAGGCTTAGACAAAAATGCAAAGGAGAATTAATGACTCTTTGCCATTATCTAGAGCAAAGCAGTGAATAATGAAGTTTGTGGACATGAGAGAAAGTGGAATTACTCAATTTCTAGCTTGCTGCTCTTGTCTTTCTTCATTAAAGTGTTCAAAAATGGAAAGGTTAGGAAACACTAAATGAACATTAAAATAGAGAAAGTTGAGAAGTTACTGTGACGCTAACTAACCTCTTTAAAGGAGAAAGAATAGGGCCTCCCTGGTGGTGCAGGTGGTTGAGCTCAGTGCTGTGAAGCTGTCCTCAGCCTCTGCAATGCCAGTTCAATCCCCGCCAGCCACGGAGAGGCCCACATGGCACAGCAGACCTCTCCTGTCTCGCCCACTGCTCCCCTCAGCAGTGTATTTCAATCAGTCTGCCTGTTCTGTTCCCCTCTCTGTCTCTGGTGAATCCTCTCACCCTCCCTCACATCTGGCCACACATCTGGCCTGTTCTTGTATAAATAAAAAAATCTTTAAAAAAAATAGAAAGAATAAAGGTGGGTGTGGGCAAGAATACCTGTCTGAGGAAACAGTGTTTCACTTGAGATCTGAAGGATATCTGGTGACAGTCAGGTGGATAATAGGGAGAGAACAATTCACACCTAGCAAAGAACTCCATGCATTCAATAAACTAACAGGCAAATCTAGAAACAAGCTAAGGCTAGAGCAACCACTTGGGATGTCACTCTGGGAGTAGCTAAGCCCAAAGGAGACCGAGAGGCTCAGTACCCCAAGACTCAATGTTGTGGAGATAGCCTGTTCTGGGAAGTTGAATTAAATGACCCTTAAGCTCTCTTTTAAAACTTTGGCCTTACACTACAAGACCACAGTTTGACATTCGATAGATACTCTACATCACAACTTAAGAGGTAGTAATGAAAGTTTAGTTAAAATAGTTATAAAAAGTAACAAAACTAATAAATGTAAATTAAGCTAATGCTGCCATAAAAACCATTGTCTAAAATCCAGAAATGCTGGAATAACGTTTTTAGTAGACAAAATTACATTCAAGTATATGAAGGTACCCACATTGTTTAGGGAATAGTTTCATAGAAGGCAAATACAGGTATCTGACTTGGTGGGATTTAAATCAAACCATTTAGATGTCTGTTATTAATCAAATACTACGAGTGCTGAGTAGTGGACAGCTAAAAGCATGACAATGAGTCTCCTTAAGGCCCGATTTTCTCCTTTGTAAAATAAAGTGACTAGATTGACTATTTCAATATCTTTATTGTTTTACTATAGATCTGGGTAATCTACAATCTTATTTCATGTTTCCCCCTTTTTTCCTTGTTTGTTTCCTCTCTCCCTTCCATTTATGTACCTGTTTTCCCATTTAGATAGATAGATTAGTAGATAGATGGATGGGCAGATAGATAACCATAGATATAGATGCATATATGTGTGTGTATAATGTGCATGTATATGCGTACACACAGATAAAGATAAATAACATC